TAGAAATCAACAGTTTAGAGGGTAGGTTCCCCAGTATAATTTTGATGTTTACACATTCTAGGATGGCTAATTCGTCTGATTCACTTTTTGAAGTACACATAACTCTCGGATTTAAATCCGAGGTTTCCACATTTATTTATAATAATATAGAAAAAAGTTCTGTAGAAAAAAAAATTTGGATTTTTTAAAATCATTGAACTTGTGATCCTTTCTTTTCATTTAAAAAGTAAGAATTTAAAAAAGAGCTCTCCTATGTATCTTGACATACTCTCCCAAAGACAAAGGTAAGTACCTTTTTCCATTTCATTTTTACAACACTTAATGCATTGTTTTAAAAAAACAAAATATACCATAAGATGCAACGTGCAAAGCTCTGCAATTTACATAGAACAGTTTATTGAAATAAGAAAAAAGGAATTTCTCATTGGTGTAGAAAAATGATCCTTTCGCAGCGTTGAAAATTGGTCGCACCGAATTTTGCTTTTTTTGAAAACAAAAAGTACACAATTAAAATAAGCTTTACTATGTAGATTGAAGAGCTTTTCACGCTGCATCTTACAGTATATTTTGTTTTTTTTACGAAAACATATTAATTGATAAAAAGATGAAATAAGGAAAACGGAATTTCTTGTTCGCATAGAAAAAAATGATTTTTTCGCAGCGTCGAAAATTGGTCGCACAGAACTTTGCTTTTTTTGAAAACAAAATGTACACAATTAAAATAAGCTTTACTATGCAAATTGTAGTTCTTTTCACGCTGCATCTTATGGTATATTTTGTTTTTTTTAAAACACTGCATTAAATGTTGCAAAAATGAAATGGAAAGAGGTACTTACTTTTGTCTTTGGGAGACATTAATTAAAAACGTTCCAGAATTACGACACGGTTTAGTAAAATCTGACATTTTCCCACAAAATCGTCAAAATTTCAGTTCTTGTGTTAAGATATGTAGTGACGATGTAATTAATAATTTAACTAATGTTCCTAATTCTGAGGGCATAATATTGTATCTTCGCCTTCTTCGTTCTATTATAATTGCTTACAATGAGAAAGAAACAACTCCAATTCATCGACTTTATCATGCATGGTTTTCATTTTTTGTTAGTCGCTGATGGTATACTTGGATTGCTAATATGAGAAACGTAGATTTAGATAATATTTTATATGAACTTAGTGGAATTAAAAATAATCGAAAAAATAAAAAACACCAGTTCTTTATTACTAATAATGCCTATTATTGTATTGAAATCAACGCTCATCAGCTTACGTATCTTGCCTTATTAGTAACAGAAAAAAAGTTACCACCAGAAGCAATGAATATTTACTTATTTAGTTTTCAAATCTGTGAGGGTATCTTTCGCTCTACCCGCTCCATGTCAGGAACATTTTCGTCTGTCGTAAATTTTACTGTACAAGAATTTCTCAATCGTGCACAGAAAATTTCTCTCTTAAATAAAATCAAAACTGAAAGTGAATTTTTCTCAATGCATGATACTCTTGTTTTTCCAAAATATTATAAACAAGGAAAAAAAATTAAAAAAACATATAATATAATTTCAAGTCATAATACACTCAATGTAGAAATAATCACAAATACAGTTTTACAAGCATTTAATGATGCAACTAATTTAATACGCCGTTTTAAAATTAAAAATCTTCTTGATGAAAAGAAGATTACAAATATGAAACAACTTAACAGTTATATCCACAACATTTTAATACAAAGAATAAATATTATGGATTATTCTGACTTGTACGAAGAAAAAGATAAGACATCAGATTCGAAAGATGAATTAGATATTGTTCTCGATTCAGAAAGTGATGTTGAAAGTGAAGATCAACAATATGATACATCATCTATCTCGTCAAATGAAGTCTTAAATGATTTAGATGGAATTAAGTTCTCTGGAATGCGAGTATTCGATACAGTTCGACCAGAATTGGGAAAAACGTTTTTTGAAGTTGAAATAGGTGGTAAAAGAAAATTTGTTCGCAAACAGACTGCTTGTTGGATTTTCACTGAAAACAAGCCGGTCTTGTCAAATGATCGTCTCACTCGTGTTATGTAAAAATAGAACATAATGAAGAAATGATTTGCTAGAACTTTTTGTTTTTTTTTGTGAAAAGTTATTTTTTTATTATATTTTTGAAAAAAACTTGATAATTTGACTTCTGCATCTTGTATTGAAATATTTAAAACATAGATGAAGAACAACAATAGAACGTATTTTTATGTTACAAGAAAAAAATGATCTGAATTCATTTTCTAAATAACTCAATAGACTTCTCAACAATATTTAGGTCATGATGTAATTCGTATTTTCATTTGCGTTCTCATTTGTAAGTGGATATTTTTCGATCTCCGGATATCGCCAACCGATTTTTGTGTTAATGATTAGTTACAGACTTATATTAATTGAGACATACAGTTAGTATGCTACTTTTTAGTCGAAATCTATGTTTCTCATGCTGATACATAGCCCAAAAAAGAAGTTTATACTCGCAGCGCAAGAAGAGTACTATACTCTTTGAGATCCTGGCCATGTTTAATTTTATTTATTTCGTTATAAAAATTAAGTGAATATAATTCTAGTTCATAAAATAGTCTGTTTTTCATCAGAGTCGTTTCCGACGAAGAAATGGGAAAACTTAATGGAAATATTAAAGATATTGTGAATCTGTAGTTAACGTTCAATATAGTTTACTCTATGGACTCTCACTGTACTCTTAGAGTCCACAGAGTCCACGGAGTCCAGTCAGAGTACATGGAGTCCAGTTGGAGTACATGGACTCCGCAGAGTACACGAGTACGAGAGTACGTCGTTTCCCCCTTGCAGCATCATCATCACAATTAAATTTTCTCTAGAAAAGAAAGATGATGTTGTAACAAATCAAATATTGTGTTCAATCTAAAAATCATATGAAACAATATCAGAAGCAAGGCTTAAAATAGAG